TATGACCAAGCCTCTTATACCGAAGATTTATAATTTCATCTTTCTGAATTGCATTAATCTCTTCTTTGTGTAGCTTAGCTTCTATAAGTTAAGCTTCTTTCCTCTCGCTATAATTAAAAAATATTTAGTGAGTTTCCATTTGCTTTCATCAAAATAGTGTGTAAATCCCTCATCATCAAGCCTACCCCTATATATCAAGTTAAGATGAATATTTGAAATATACCTAACATATTTTAGTATCAATTTGCTCCTAATATTGGTGTCTAAGCAAATATGTCAAGTACCTACAATCTTAGATGTATCACTGTTTCCCATTCTAACATGACCAAAATCACCAGTAGTGTAAGATATAAAAAAATCACCATGAGAAATAACATAAAATAAAGTACTAGTGTCAATTACTGTCCTAGACTGCAAGACTGACACAACCGTCATCATAAACAATAATGATATCACTTTCAGCAGCAACTATATTGGTCTCTTTCTCATTTTTTTTCCTTTCATTCTGTTCTCGCTTCCAAAATCTATACTCTTTCTTCATGTGACCTAGCCTATTACAGTGAAAACATTTGATATCTCTTCTAGACTTAGATCTTCCTCTGTAACTATGTAGATTTTTACTATGACTTCTTCTACGTCTTTCTTGTTTTTCAGTAACAAGTGCACCAGAAGAAGATTATCCTTGTTCTTTTCTTCTGGCATCTTCATTTAATAAACTGTCTTTAACCATATCTATAATTAGAGTCTATTCTGGCGTGGAGTTACAAATTGTCACCACATGCATTTTTCAACTTTCTAGTAAAGAGCTGAGAAGTAATAATCCTAGCATCTCATCATCTATATTCATTTTCACAGTAACCAGTTTATTTACAAGACTCTGAAATAGGCTTATATGCTCAACAATATTACCACTATCTTTATACTTCAAATTAACAAGCCTTCTGAGGAGAGAAATTATATTTCCTACTGTCTTTTTCACAAATAGGTTTTCTAACCATTGTCAAACAACATCAGCTCTGGTTTCATCAGAAATATGCTCATGCAAATTTATATTTATTCATCTTCTAATATAGACAGTATATTTTCTATGTTGAACTTATCATTCCTTATCGTTCATAGTAGAAGATTTATCTTTAACCTTGATGAGCTTATACAAATCTTTACAATAAAGCATATCTTTCGTTATACGCTTCCAAATAGAGTAATTTGATTAGTTTAATTTAATCATACCATCTGACTCCTCAATTTTAATCACATAAGAAAAAAAATAGTATAAAATAACCTGACTCTCATACCACTTGTTAGGAAAAACCTATTATAGCGGAATAATTCTTTTTTCTTCTTTGTGTATCAAAATAGGTTCCTCATCAAAATACCAACTTGAAATCAAAATCATATATTAACCAGAATAACATAAACAACAGAATAATGAATCAATCATAAAATGAAACTAAATTTTTAACGTGAAAAATCTAATACGAGAAAAACCACGGGACTGTAGTCCACTTCAAACTTCTACTATCACTAGCAATGATAATAGGTTTACAATAAGTCTTCTCTAAAACAATAATAGGATCATAATAACATCAAGACCACATATTTTAGCTCAAGAATAGTATATCATCATCACATGTATAAATTTCATCAAAAGAAAAGTTTAGGTCTCTCCAAGTGAGTATAGTAGAAAAGCATCTAAGAGAGAATAAATTATAAATTAGCACAGTTAAGATTATAGAACTTAGATAAACTATGTCTCATTTTATTTTTTTAGTTTTTTTATTTTAATAAATCATATTTAGATTTATTGTCCAACTCATTACTCCAAGCCCACGGCGGCTAGACCCAACAAAAGAGAACGTGAGGAAGGAATGAAAGAGGAAGAGAGAGAGAACGTTGCGCCACCGTAAGCCGTCAACTTACTGTAGCATGAGAAGAGAAGGAAGAAGAGAGAGAGAGAGATTGAGAAAAAAGAGAAAAAAAGAAGAAAAAGTATATGATCGTAATGAGATCTCATTTTATATCAAAAGAGTCAGTTTAAAAATGTATAAAATATATTTATATATGTTTTTGAATTCCTACTATTTATCATTAGTCAAAAAGTAAGTGTCACTACATTTCAATTAATCTTAATTCTTATTATGCAATACGATCTTCGAAAAAAAAGGAAAAGGAAAATAAATAAATGGTTATTATTGAATAAGGATAAAAAAATTGATTACTGTATTTTTTTAATGTTATATTATTCATCATATTTGAAATGATAAGTAAAAGATTTATGCATTGAAAAGATATGATGATACTATATTTTGTAGTTTTCAACTATTTAGTCAGTTTGGCTATGATCTACATTCTATTAATCAGGGTTATATAATGGTTAAATTTAAAGATTAGTTTCTTCTAAATCTTGATATAGGATAAATATATTATCTATATCACGAGAATTAAACGAGAAAATAGCATGATCATAACCGTTAGCATTCTGACTTATTTTGATCTATTTTTAAGTTATTATTTATGAATTTAGATGTGAACTATTAGTCATCTTTATACTAATCTATGATTACCTAATCATAACATTTGTATTAAAATAATTTATGTTCACTTATGTTTTTATCATACAAATATATTTATTTGAAACTTATCATATACCCTCTTTATGACAAAAGTCAAAATTTGAAAAGTATATAAAGTTATGTTTTGATCTTTATCTAAGCACAAAGAAGGCTTAGCATTGATATATATTTTTATATGCAGAGTGTAAATGCATAAAGAAGGTATATGTTTAGTAAAATATTTCTTTGTAATTAGTTTTGCTAGTATATGAGTTTTGGTGTTTGCTAGAATTGTTAAAATTTTTCAGATCATAAGGAATAAATGGTCTATGGTTTCACTTGGAAGAAATAAACTATCTTGTTTTAGGTTTGGAACTGTTGAAACTCATGATGCAATAAATACTTGTTGGATGTTATATGCTAAGCTTTGTATATATTGGGAAGTACAATGTGTTGCAGATGTCGTTAATGGATACTTTTGTGAGATAATTGATTGGGTGTATGAACTTGGTTTCAAAGTTTTTTACTGGCTTAGACCTAACAATTCTCAAATGAGAACTTATGCTAGAATTCGGAGGTGGATCTGAGAGACCGATAAGGTACTGCATAACCAATATTAACTTTATGAAGACTTTACTTGCATGAAAGTGCCAGAGTATGTCCTTAATGTTGTTCGATCAAATCCCACTTTAGGGTTTGACTCGCAGTTCATCACTTCTTGCGCTGGAAGGAAGAAGAAAACATGGAACTGGTAAGAGAATTGCCTGCAGACGCTGCACCAGCGATGGTTTCATTTGAATCCCAGGGATGCATGCATATCCATGCACCGATAGTTACCGTGGTCAGCGCAGAATACGTCCATCGTCATGGAAATGCTTCTCTTCCGATCGATCCCCTCAGAGAATAAATGTAAACGATAGCGCCCACGTTGACTGCCATCGTCCCCGTTCCAACCCACAGCAACTTAAGCTTTGTGGACAGCAAGGAAATAAAGGTGGTGGATTGGCCTTCTGCAAACCCGAACGAGACGAGAGAGGGGCGTTTCTCTTCAATGCTACAACTAGAAGCTTCGTAAATAAATAATATATATACATACATGTTAGAATCAGATGCATGATAAGAGACAAGTAAACAATTTCTAAGTTAAATGTTGATAGGAGAATAATCTCTCGAGTCACATCGAATCAAAATTGAATGTTTAATGCCAATGGTGTGGAGCATGTGAAGATCGAACAACCTTGGAGGCCACATTATGTGACGTTCGGTGTACCATATTTGTGTGCACTGACATGGCCTTGTCTATACCACCGCCGTTTTGTAATTGGACTTCCAAGTGTGGCATCCACTGCCAAGTCATGTCAAGGTGACATGTCCATACTAGGAATAGTGTCACACATGAAACGAGTCACGTTATTTTCTCATGCATAATACAAAGGAAAAGAAGAAGAAGAAGAAGAAGAAGAAGAAGAAGAAGAAGAAGAAGAAGAAGAAACCAGCACATATGCATACTTGTACATTTCGCAATGTCCTATAGCATTAGGAATGAAGGCAAAATCGATGTAGACTAGCATTAGAAATTAACACACGAAATGAAAAGGTTGTATTCTGAAAATTTCTTGGATTAGTTTAGACATGAAGCCTCTTTATCGGAAGTAAACAATAGATGACTTGCATGTAAAAATGTCATAGAAAAATGTGATCTAATATGCCTAAGTTGATATGTTATTTTGACATGATCTGGTGGGATTTTATTTACACATATTTTGTTTATGCGGTTTAGTTTTCCAAAAATGCACCAAGATATGGCTTTTTCCATTAACACCACCCATATCTATGTCATAAGCAATCAATAGACTACGAACTATAGCGTCCTACTTTACAAAATGGATCACGTCCAAAAGGTAATCTAATCATTGGGACCCTGCAATAGTATAATAGCAATGAAAGCCATATTGTCAGCTAGTATTGAGACTCCACTAAAACCATAAAAAATATTGTACTCCAATTAACCAAAAAAAGAGAAAGAAATCCCACCCAAATGAACGAGAAAGAGGAATAAAAGGAGAGCCCACCACCTTTTCTCTCTCCCACCAATGCCAATCCCCATTTATTATTGATGTCAGTCTCCATTTCCCCTCCCTCTCCCCCTTAGTGCTCAACACACTATATCTAACTTTAAGGTGACATCGCATAAACTATATGCACAAAATACATGAGGGCCCCTTTTGTGGATAAGTGCTCACCTCATCCACCAATTACTTCTCTCCACTCCCATCTTCTTAGGTCTAAAACCCTAAAGAAGTGCTAACCAAAGCTATACTAAAATGAAGGGAGAAAAGTTATTATACCACACTAAATTGCCTACTTGTGGATATTATTACAGTTCTACCCTCTCATGTTCTCCTTATAAGCACGCATCAGCGTTCTTTCTCTCCTCACCACCTCAACATTCCATTGCCCGACTCCTTCAGGACAAGAAGGTTCCCGGAAAGTGGAAAGCGAGATGAGGGCAGGAGCAGCATTCAACGCGACGGCGGCAGTGGAGGTGCCAGCTGCGGCGGTGGGAGGAGGCCACTCGGGGTGGCGCTCGCCGGTGCCGTACCTGTTCGGGGGACTGGCTGCCATGCTGGGGCTCATCGCCTTCGCCCTCCTCCTCCTTGCCTGCTCGTACTGGAAGCTATCGGGGTACCTCGACGGTGGCGACGACGGCAGTGGCGTCGAGCCGGGCGCCAAGACGGGAGCGGAGGTGGCGATGCCGGTCGCGTGCTACGAGGAGAAGTTCGTGGTGATCATGGCCGGGGATGAGAAGCCGACGTACCTGGCAACGCCCGTCTCGAGCCGAGCATCGTCGTTTGGTGATCACACCAGTAAGGAAGACAATAACAACGATAAGGACATGCTTGAGGACTGTATAGGGACTGGAAATGAGACCGAGAATAAGGATCATATCCGAGGACAGTCTGAGAACCAAAACTTGGATGTATAAGGCTTTTCTCCTTTTCTTCCTTTTTCCTCCTTTTGGAGTCAGGAAATGACTTGGCCTAAGAATTTTCATTGTGGGAGAAGTCGTAGAAGATAGCTTCTTTGCTGCACTTTATGATCCATATGCTTTTATCCTGTTTTCACTCTGTATAGCTTTGCCATAGCAGCAGCAGCAGAGAGAGAGAGAGAGAGAGAGAGAGAGAGCGAGTAGCAAGCGATGAGGGTTGGTTGGGACGCGGCTACGTGAAGGAGGACGATGTTTATCCAGCACAATGATCGGCGACTGCTTGCCCTTGCAGCGTTACTGTTACTGTAGTGAGAGAGAGAGAGAGAGATAGAGAGAGAGAGAGTGCATGTGTGTTATGTGTATTGATCACAAAAGGCAGGAGAGAATCATGAATAAAAGCAGCAACAACGAATAAAGTGACCACCGAGATACATTTCAAGAACAAATCAGGATGGCATGCTATCCATCACACTGTTTGATGCACACATCTCAAGCAATTTATTCTCAATTGAATTGATATCTAAATTAATAGCTAACAATCATAAAAAAATGACGCATGTTTTCCACCTATAATCATCTTCGATGCACAAAGTTGAACGTCCATTCTTGGATACCTGACCGGCCACAACGTATTAGCCTCCCAGTTTGTCCCCACTTCTCCATCGAGAGATTCGTGTTATTATAATGATTGCCATATGCTCTTAGTCGGGGGCAATGCGAATCCGCCTTAGTGCGAATTCCTAATCTGAACCTTTTCCAGTAGGTGATGCGGCCATCCGGCCGAGATCGAAGCTCCTGCAGTGAATTGCAAGTGTTCGATCATGGGTATATCAAGTGTGTCATTTTTGGCACTTGGGGGTACGAAGAGAATGGCAGAATCGCGCAGGACCACCATTAGCAGCAGCACTCCAAGAGAAACGAAAATGGCGAACGCGAGGTCAGATTGGCATGACCGGTTTGTCTCCTCCATTATTGAGACCCCACCCGGCGACCGAGTGCTCTCCTGGTCTCACCCTGACAGCGAGCATCGTCGTCCCAAGTCCACGAGGGAGGGAGACCTCATGACGACCACCTTCGGCAAAGGTGCACCGACTTGGACCTCCAACAGTACTGTGGAGGACTACTGCTCAAGAAAGCTACTTCTGCCGTCAGTGCAGGCGATGAACATGTCGGCTGGAGAACGTTCTCCCCTTCTCGAGCTGAGTTCTCATCGGCGAGGTCTGGAGGGGCGTTGCGGAATCCGATGCTAAGCTCGGCAAAGATATGAGAAGCAGTGGCCGACAGCGAGGGCGATGTTGCGCCAGTAAGAAGCCATGGACATGGACAAATGGTACGTGCAATGTTACGTGCAATGTTAGAGGTGTCAAAACAAAGAGAGAGAGAAGAGAGAGAGAGAGAGAGAGAGAGAGAGAGATCAGAAGGATAATTCAGCTTCTCCGGGGATTTCGGGGCCGTCATGCAATTCAATTCACAATGCAAAGAATTGATGCTCTCTCTCTCTCTCTCTCTCTGTATGAAAAAATATCCTCATGGTAGGAATATATATGTTTGTAGCGTGTGGAAAATAAATGATATCATACAAAATTTCTCTTGCTCTAATCGTGTTTGATGGGTAACTCATTCATTCACTTCATGGCCTAGGATACTTGAAAACTGTAGGAGACTCATTTGACTCTTAAACTAAGACAAATCTGTTCTTGTTCTTGCAAGGATTTCTGGTGGAGTAACTTGCAAACGTCTCTTGCCTGGTTACAAGCTGGAACATACAAGAGTAGTGACATGCAACTCCCCCACTTTGCAAGTTGTGCTCAGTGGAAGATGGAGTCATGCATGGCCGTGTCCAAACAATTACAGTTGTTCATTTTGGTAGGCCAGCCAGCTATAGTTGATGAGTTAGTAAAAATTCCTGCAAAATAGGCTTATAATTTAACTCACTAGTTTATTCATTATTGGGCACTGACAGAACTTACATCAGTTCTCAATAATTAGACATGTTGGTTAACTTAGCTTTTATTACAAATATTATCATCATATAAGAAAAATACACCATGAAAAAAGCTTGAATCTTAAGATTAAATGCATGGTAATATAACTATTTAACTCTTATAAATAGAGATGTTTATGGGACCTATCATGTGAAGCTTTATCATCAAATATTACTTTCATTTCCTCCACCAAAATACCATCACTCGTTATCAACTGTTCTCTTTACGCATTATCCGGAGTTGAGTCACAGAAATCTTTCACGGTAACGAAGGCTGGTTAACATCATTGATCTCGCAGGCTCTATGCTGCGTCTTATGTGAAATGGGAGCCACTATCTGCAGGTTCACCATGTCGTTCAGCCTGCCATGCTGCCTCCTCTTTGTTCAGCATCTTCATGATGGCTATGTGCAGTAATGGGCTCCATTCACAACCTTCTCTTTGTGATTGCTTTTTGTGTTGGGACTCAGTGCACATTTTCTTGAGTTGTAGTCAGGCCCAGTGACCGGGTTGTGAGTTTGTGTACGTTAAAAAGAAATACCAACTATTATAAATGAGAGGTATGAGTAGAAAATTTATCATGGTTTTGTTGCATGGAGACTTAATATTTCATCAACCTTCTGATTATGTAAAAAGACCTTAGAATAAGTATAAAGTATATATAAAAAAAATTATATATCGACTAAAACAAATTTCACGGATTTCGTATAGTCGCATAGATACTTGCTTTTTAAAAGAGTTTTTGAAGATACTCATGTGTGAATATATATATATATATATATATATATATATATATATAATAAA